AATATTCTTTAAGTCTACCATTGACTTTTGAAGTCTTTAAAACTGCATGGGTCGCTCAAGGGTTTGAGCTCTGAGCAACAGCGGTTCGAGTCCAGCCTGAGCTGAGCAGCCGCTGAGCTGCCAACAGGTAGCAGGATGGCTCAGCTAAAAAAATAAATAAATTAAAAAAAAACCAAAAAAAAAACCCCCAAAAAACTGCATGGGCTATATCCTCTCTTTATTCTATACACATCACGAAAGAGTTGGGGGGGAAGTTATATGTAATACTTTTTACATATTGCTTTTGCAGTTACAATTTATCCTTTTACACTTTGTGTTTTAAGACATGGGGGAATAATGTCATTTAGTGTGGGGGGAAAAAAGCAGGTGTAAATATTCATATTCACTTCCAATTAACACATAATTTGGGTTCAAATGCCATTTCTAATCGCTTGCAGAATGATTACATATGGTTGTCCTGATCAATTTACTTATGAGTACGTATTTAAAATAACTGTCTTTCACAGTGAATAAGTCAATCATGTGTAACAGATTTTTCTAGAACATTTTTTAAAACTTTTACTGTTAGGTTTGAACCAAGATGTCCAGTGTAGTAGTGGGTTTTTTGGGAAACATGATTTTTCAAGCTTACTTCTCAGTATGAATTTTCTAATACTTAATAGTTCTGGAGCTATTGTTGAAGGCTTCCCGTGTTTGGTAAACTCATATAATTTCTAGCCTGTATAAATTCTATGATGTGCAATAAAATTTCGGTCACTGTATTAAAGTTTTCTCATTCAATTGAAAGGATTTTTTTCTGTTCAATGTGAATTCTTTGATGAACAATGAGAGTAGATTTCTTGCTGAAAGATTTTCTACATTCACTGCATTTATAGGGTTTCTCTCCAGTATGTATTCTATGATGTACAGTGAGGTGTGACTTCTTATTAAAAGCTTTTCCACACTCAGTGCATTCATATGGTTTAGACCCAGTATGAATTCTCTGATGCACAGTGAGTTGTGATTTTTTGATAAAAGCTTTCCTGCATTCACTGCATTCGTAGGGTTTCTCCCCGGTATGAATTCTCTGATGTTCAATGAACTGTGACTGCCAGATAAAGGCTTTCCCACATTCGTTACATCTATAGGGTTTCTCTCCTGTATGAATTCTCCGATGTACAGTGAGCTGAGATGGCCAGATGAAGGCTTTACCACATTCACTGCATTCATATTGTTTCTCCCCAGTATGAGTTCTTTGATGTACACTAAGTATTGACTTTTTGATGAAAGCTTTCCCACATTCATTGCATTCATAGGGTTTCTCCCCTGTGTGAATCCTCTGATGAACAATGAGATTTGACTTCTGGATGAAGGCTTTCTCACATTCACAACATTCATAAGGTTTCTCTCCTGTATGAGTTTTCTGATGTACAGTGAGTTGTGCCTTCTGAACAAAGGCTTTTTCACATTCATTGCATTTATATGGTTTCTCCCCAGTATGAATTCTCTGATGTACAATGAGTCCTGACTTTCCACTAAAGGCTTTTCCACACTGAATACATTTATACGATTTCTCACTGGTTAGAATTTTTGGTTGTGCAAAGAGGTGTGACTTCTGCATGAAGGCTCTGATGTGTTCATTAGATGTTACGTTCAGATGAAATACTTTCCCCAGTGTATTACGTTCATTGTCTGTCTCCTTAATCAGTGACTCACTGTTAATGAATGGAACTTGATTCAAAAACTTGTCTTGTTTCTCCTGGTTATTTATCTCAACTCCAAGTTTCCAGTCTTTAAAAATTGAGTATACTATCATGTTATGGAGTATCACTTCTTCAGAAATGTTCTTCTGTGGAGTTAATTCTTTCATTTTCGGTCTAATCTCAAAGTCTGAAAGAAAGCCCAAGTGTAAATGAGCTTGATAAATAGAAAACAAAACCCAAATAAAGCTCTTCATTTTAATGGAATAGAGAGAAATCTGAAAACAAGTACAGTCAGATTTGAAATTTAAGAATATGATCTTAAAACCCAAAGACAGAAGAAGAAACAGACATAAAAAGAAGTGAGCAGGGGAGAAATAGAAAAAGAAGCTTTGATGAACTGAATATCATGGTCCCATATGATTTCCCCACACTTTGTCCCACCCCTCACTCCACCACAAGGTTCTGTGAAGAGCAAAGGCAGACCAAAATAAATAATAACTTCAGGAAAGACAGAGGAAGAATGCTAGCAAAAAAAAAAAAAAGCAAACCTGAGGGTAAGTTAAAGTGACCAGCAGAAAGATTAAATCTATACTAAATATAAAAGTACTGTATAAGTAGCCAGGTAGATCAGAGCACAACTGCAGGAAAGGGATTTCAAAGTACATGCATCTTAAAGGTTGTCAGATGACATAAGGCTTGGGATGGGGCTGGCTCTATTTAACAGGGCAATGCTGAGTTAGAAGAACAGACCACTTCAGAAGAAGAAAAAAGGCAAAAAAGAAGGAAGGCTTCTGGTAACTGGGTGGTGGTGATGGGGAAAAGAAGAAAACTCAGGGCCCTGGAAATAAAGAGAAGAACCAGAAAACTCAAAACTCCTCCCAAATCACAAGAAGAAAGGAAGGAAGGAAGGGAGGGAGGGAGGGAGGGAGGGAAAGAGGGAGGGAGGAAGCTACTAAAGTACCTGGACTTTGCTATATCAACAGAAAAGAATTCCATAAAATTAGAATCTTATAAATATACCATCATATGATAAAAGTGAACAGAAAAAAGGGAAAGTTCACAGGGAACTATTACTGAAAATCACTAAGTGAATTTATATAGTAATCAACAGAGGACATTGTCCCCTGCAAAAAACAAAAACAAAAAAGCTAGCCATGAAGCAGAAGAAAATTTTGTGTGAACTCCAAACAGAATTAAATACATTCAAACAAGTGTTTCAGGACAAGGAAAACCACCATGAAACACAACTTTTAAAAAATTAAATGGAAAAATAAGGGAAATGAAAATGAACTGATTAAACTCAAAGGGAAAAAAGTGGAAGATTAAATTACAAGATGCAGGTAGGGCGGAATACACTCAAATGAAAATTGAATAAGCAGCATTGAAGAAAGGCAGGACAACAACCAAGATAATAAACAATCAAGTAAAAATGGTCACAGAGGAAGTAGTGGAAAAGGAAGATAGGTAAATAAGGAATAATATTTCTATTATTAGAGCCCTGAATATTTTTTAAAAACAAAAGATTATAACTCAAAAACATTTCACACTGAGAAGGTAAGGAAAACAGAAGGCAATTAGAAAGGATATGCATATCACTCAGTAAGCAACACTGAAAGAGAGCATATCTAAGAATGCTTGGATGCATGAGGAGAGGAGAATAAGCCTATTTTGGGAGAATGGATGCTGAGGATATTAGCCAATGAGAAGCTAATTAATTAAGAAATGTCCTAAATGATGTGGACATAGATAAGATCCAGAGTACAGGTAAGGTTACCTCTCTCCAAATTCAAGCAAAGGAAAAGGATCATGTAGGTGTTTGACACATAGCAGTGTCATTTAGATATATTCAACAATCCCACTGCAATCAACTGTCTTCAGCCATTTTTAAATATCTATGGCCTTAAAGAATGATTTCCTAAAAAAATATTTCAAAGATAGACCTCTTACTAGTCAATATGAATCTTACTTCCCTGTCTCCCATATGCCAGGTTCTCACTTACCTGGATAGGCCCAAGTTGAGATTTTTCCTTCCTTCATCCATGGTTCTCCTTGCTTCAACAAGAAGATTTTATCTGACTTCAGAGACTGATACCCTGTTTATGGGAAATGATACAGGACTTGGGCATTAGTGGACAACCAACCATCCTAGAACTCAGGCCCACTACATTATGTACCAGAACGGCTAAATTAAAAAGACTGACATTATGATAGGGCTGGCCAAGTGGCTCAGTTGGTTAAGAGCTCGCTCAAGAGTGCGAGCTCTGAACAACAGCGGTTCGATGCCTGGCCTGAACTGGGCTGCCGCTGAGCTGCCAACAGGTGGCAGGATGGCTCAGCTAAAAAAAACAAAACAAAAGACTGACATTATGAATCTTTGATGGAACTCTCATACATTGTTAGTAGAATATAATTGGTATATCCTCTTTGGAAAACTGTCTGGCAGTATCTACTAAAGCTAAATATACATATGTCCTATGACCCAGAAATTCTACTCTTATGTATATACCCAACAAAAATGAAATCTTTATTTCCACCAGAAGATATGTATAAGAATGTTCATAACAGCTTTATTCATAATAGCCCAAACCTGAAACAACCCAAATAACCATAAATAGTTAGCATGGATAAATTGATGAATTACTGTACAGTCATTAAATGGAGTATGATGCAATAATGAGGATCCAACTACTGTCACATGCAAAAACATGGTTGAATTTCACAGATATTATGTTAAATAAAAGATGCCAGACAACAAAAACTTACATACTGTGTGATTACACTTACATGAAATTCAAGACCAGACAAAATTTATAGTGACAGAAGCCACAAGTTTTCATCTCTAAAGGAGGTAAATGGCAAGGGGTTCAAGGAAGACCGCGTGAGTGCTGGAAATGTTCTATAGCTTGATGTGGGTAAAGGTTAAGAAGTGTGTACATATGGAAAACACATTAGGCTGTATACTTAAGATCTGAACACTTTACTAGACACATTATATCTCAATTTATAAAAACTAAGAACTTGGGCCCAGCCCACTGTCTTTAGTCTCCAAAGAATGAGCAAGATGCAGTATCCATTTTCTTCTCATCCAAGTTCGCTGGAGAGGTAGAAGCACAGTATTTGGTACTCAAAATTAATATTCTTTTGACAGTTACAGCTTGAAATGAAGCTCATTAAGCATTTAAGCACTGAACAGCTCTTAGCTAACAAGAAAGGAAAGGCAGTCATTTGAGCACTATGGTAGGTTTAATAAATGTCCATAAATTCTTTGACACTCTTCCCTTCAAGAGATAGAGCTTACTTAATTTTCCTCCCCTTGAGCATGCGCTAGACTTAGTAACTCACTTTTACTAAACACAAAAAGGTAAAAGTGATAGTGTGAGATTTTGGAGACTCGGTCATAAAAGGCACTGTAACTTCCTCCTTGCTCTCGGATCACTCTGTCTGGGGGAAGTTTGCTATGTCATGAGAACAAGCCCACACAGTGAGGAACTGAGATCACCTGCCACTGAACAGCAAGGACTGGAGACTCCTGTCCGTGGCCACGTGACTGAGTCGTCTTGGAAATGGATCCTACACTCCCAGTCAGGCTTTCAGATGGCTGAAGCCCCTGCCAACATCTGACTACAACCACGTGGGAGACCACGAGCCAGAACCATCCAGCTAAGCCATTCTAAATTCCTGACCTACAGAATTGTTAGTAAGAAATGTTTGTTTTAAGCCACTAAATTTTGGAGTAATTATTATGCAGTAATAGATAACTAACACCAGTACTTTCTGAGGGAAGATGTCCTTACCCACTGAAACAAGGTTGCTATAGTTCTCTAGCATCACATCCCTGTACAGGTTTCTTTGAGCAGAGTTCAGCTGCTGCCACTCTTCCTGAGTGAAGTCCACAGTCACATCCTTGAATGACACAAACCCCTGTAACAGAACATTCTTGTTCAACCTAAAGTGAAACGCACTGGGTGGTGTATAAATAAGGCATGAGAAATTATTGCTGTTTCAATCATGTAGAGTTTATCATACTTTCCTCAAGAAATTATCACATTTAATGTATAATATAAACCACATAATTGCAGATGATATGCTCCATTTTAATTGCCTATGAAAGTCTATAACTTGTATGACTATGTTCCAAGTTTCCTTGGTCTGGATCCTCTATTTTATTTCCCCTGATCTGCATTTTTTTCATTTAATTGAATTAATTCTTTTAAAATGCCTCAAATACAGTGGAAAACAAAATAGGGTATAAACAGCTCACTTACCTGAGACTTGGTCATTTTCTGTTGCTCTTCAAAAGGGGCAGATATCTGTAAAGATAGCTTGGGTGAGTAGGGAGGGGATAAAAAAAAACGATGGCCTTCAGAGTCTGGGTCTGCCCTGCAATTCCCAGAATCACGAGCCTAGAAATACCTATCATCAACTACTTAAAAGGCTACTCTTTGGAGACTGCTCCTGTCAAGGTTCCTTTCAGAGAGACCACAAAAAATTATGCTGTGATAACATCAACCTATTTCCTTACAGTTCTGAAAATATCCGAACATGGTATGTTTTTCTTTTGAAAATGTGAATGTTTATATTCCATGATATGTTTAAATTTTTTCTTCTTCAACATGTATTTATGATAAAAACTCTTAACAAAGTGGGTATATAAGGAATGTACCTCAACATAATAATGGCCATAAAAGACAAACCTACAGCTAACATCATACTCAAACAGTGAAAAGCTGAAAGCTTTTCCTCTAAGATCAGTAACAAGACCAAAATGTCCACTCTCACCACTTTTAGTAAACATAGTATTGGAATTCTTAGCCACAGCAATTCAGCAAGAAAGAGAAATAAAAGGAATCCAAATTGGAAAGGAAAACTTTCACTATATGCAGATGACATACTATATGTAAAAAATCCTAAAGACGCCACCAAAACCCCATTAGAGCTAACAATTGAATTCAGTAAAGTCACAGGATGCAAAATTAATATACAGACTTCAGTTGCATTTATATACACTAATAATGAGCTATCAGAAAAAGAAATTAAGAAAACAATCCCATTTACAATTCCATCAAAAAGAAAAAAATACCAAGCAATAATTAAGCAAGGAGGTGAAAAACCTGTACTCTGAAAACTATAAGACACTGATGAAAGAAACTGAAGCTGACACAAATAAATGAAAAGATATACCATGCTCAGAGACTGGGAAAATTAACATTATTAAAATGTCGATACTACCCAAAGTAATCTACAGATTCAATGCAATCCCCATCAAAATACCAACAGCGTTTTTCACAGAACTCTAAGAAAGACTCCTAAAATGTGTATGGAACCACAAAGGACCCCAAATAGCCAAAACAAGTGTTTGTACAGAGAAGGAAACCATCCACAAAATGAAAAGGCAATCTGCTGAATAGGAGAAGATATTTGCAAATCATACATCCAATAAGGGGTTAATATGTAAAATATATAAAGAACTTACACAAGTTAATATCAAAAAACAAACAACCCAGAGGCCAGCCGAGTGGCTCAGTTGGTTAAGAGCTCACTCAAGAGTGGAAGCTCTGAACAACAGGGTCGCCAGTTCCATTCACGGCCCAAGCTGAGCTGCCAACAGGTGGCAGGATGGCTCAGCTAAAAAACAAAAACAAAAACAAACAAACACCCAGTTAAAAAATGGGCAGAGGAACTGAATAGACATTTTTCCAAAGAAGACATACAGATGGCCAACAGGCACATGAAAAGGTGCTCAACATCAGTAACCATCAAAGAAATGCAAAGCAAAACCACAATGAAATATCCCGTCACAATAGTTAAAAGGCTATTATGAAAAAGATAATTGCTATCAAGGATGTGGAGAAAAGGTGTAAAATGGTGCAGCCACTATGAAACAGTATGGATATTCCTCCAAAAATTAAAAAATAGAACTACTATATGTAATCCAGCAATTCTGCTTCTAGGCATTTATCCATAGATAACTAAAACACTAATTCAAAAAGATATATGCACCCCTATGTTCCCTTCAACATTATTCACAATAGCCAAGATATGA